GGTTGTGGGTTCAAACCTCGTAATTCCCCTCTTTTGTAATAGTGTCTAACCCCCCCCCCAAAAAAAAAAAAAAAAAAAAAACCATATTGTAATTTTTTTCCTTTTGTTTTTTGGTATTCATATGTATATGTTATTATTAATGACAAGGTTTTAGTAAGAATTTTGGCAATTTGATTTGATGACACGAGAGTGGTGCAATGATTATTAGGACCTCATGTCATTTGCAATAGCCTGAAAGTTGGTTTAAAGTTCATTGATTTATTTTGGGGCACATTTTTGTGACAACCTTTATAGAGTTGGAGAGAAAAATAAGTTGCAACTAAAATCACTTGTGCAATTCCTTTATAACCATAACACTAAAAAAATAAAAATAATTGTTGTGCTGAAACACTTACTAGAATTGTTGAGACCAGGGGTGGAGTCAAAATTTTTTTTTAGGGTAAGCACACTCTAACTACAAGTTTTAATTTCGATGTATTTCATTTCGGAAAGTATATTTGGGGTGCAGAAGGAGAAGATTTGGGGACAACGATTCAACTTGATTTGGAAAAGGATATAATTTGGTGAGAGTTTTACCAAGTAATTATAGGTGTGAATGATGGTAATAAAATTTGAAACTTTTGAGGGTTGGAAAAATTTTCAGGACTCATTTTGATTTGTTGGATTAAATAAATATGAAAATGATTTGAACCGTTTTTTTTATGTTGGGGTAATGTAGTCTGTCAGATATATCTTTGTTTTGTCTTGAAACTCTTTATCTTTAGAATTCAAAACTCCGCCTACTTTATTATATAGTCTAAGAATTGTTTGTACATAGCGGTACTATGTAACGAACAAAAAAAGCTCAATTAGAAGGCTTATCAATTAAAAGACCACTACAAAAACAACATATGAAGCATTTAAGGTGGATAACAAATATATTTAAACTGACAATCAATTACTTTCCTATTGAAATGAATGTATCACCATGTCCTCTAGAGGGGTAGTATATTTTTTTGATTAGAAACAGACGATATAATCATTTTATTAAGCAGGAAAATTTTGATTACAATTAGACAAAAGAAAAGCCATAAACTCGAGGGGGGACCCTAACCAACTCGCCGGAAGGGAGTTGGTTAGTATATTGGCCGCCACCCAATGAGCAGCCTTGTTAAGAGCCCTAGGCTTGTGTAAAAAGCTTAAGTTATAAGTCCTAGCATAAAATCTAATATCTTTAATGATTACTCTAATATCCCATGGGGGCTCATCTTCATTTGAGCTGAGCTTAATGACATTGAGGCAGTCACTTTGGATAGCTCCAGAACTGTTAGTGCTTGTTTGCACTATTTTCTAGAACTATAAGGACTTCAACTTAGATAAGTTATAATACATATTAGACCAATGAAAAAAATTAGTTATACATTATGAATCCATAAAAAAAAAAGGAGAAATCAATTAGAGTTATCTTTAGATTAAGGATAATATTGATTTTATATTATTGTTAAATCACAGTTACGAAATTATAATATAGACTTTATTAAATTGTGCTGGGATAAAATTAGAAAATAAATTTTTATTTTTAAGTAGTTACTTTTATGAATTATATATTGGTAATCATTGAATTTATAGGGTTCTTCAAGAGTTCATACAATGTCAAATTTTTATGATTTAAGTCACAAGTGTTCATATATTTATTTAAGAACAAAATAGAAAATCAAAAGTTTTAAATGAAATTATTAGAGTGAGGTATAATTATCCTTATAAATTTTTTTAAGGGTAAAAGAGGAATTCAAAAGTTTTTCATCTAAGATACTTTTATTAGTAGTATAAATAAATATAAATTTTAGTGATACAAGGCTATTTTTAAATTAAAAAAAATTTAGTAAGACAACTATGGTTACTTAATTTGAGTTAGTGCATTACTTCTAATGGCTTCAAAATTAACTTATAGAAATGTAAAGTTATTATTCATACCTATTATATAATAGAAAATTGATTTTAATAATAAGATTGCAAAGTGATAACACATATAATATAAACATTGGATGTAATAAAAAAATTAAGTTGAATTATAGGGCCTTAAATTTTTTTAAAGAGGTTCTAAAATTTTTACTATAATACTACTTGTACTTAATTTGAAGATCAAATACATTTGATAAATAGTGAATTTTGTTTAAAACTAGCACTTACTTGGCATTGAATATTTAAGTTATATCCTAAAATTTAGATTGTATACCATTGTTAAAATTTGGGTAAATTGTAAGGGGTACACCAAATTAGATTTATTTGGCCAAAAATACACACTAAAAAATGTAGGGTTATTAAGTCCTTAATTTTGATACTTTTTTGTATCTAAGTACACAATTTGAATTTTTGCCTAATTTTTTTTGTGACATTTATATATATATATATATATAAACAAATGCACATGAATCAAAGTGCATTAAATACTAAAGTTCTCCCATAAAACTAAGAGATATTTAATGTACCACTTTTCCTAAAATGGACATTTATGTTTTTGTATCTAACTAGTGTACTTTTTTTCAAAATATTTTTTAATATGTATTTTTTGTCAAATAAATCTAATTAAGTATACCGACTTTCAAAAATCCCTTAAAATTTTTATTTTGTGGGCCCTTGGCAATGGCCTGGCCTATAGTTTGGGCCCGTATTGGGTGGGACGGCAGTAGGAGGTTTTGGTAGTAGTGGAGGTGGTGTTGGGTGATGGTGGTGGTAGTAGCCAATGGCTATGGTGGCGAAGTTTGGTTGTTGTGGCAAGTGGTGGTGGTAGTGGTTGCCAATGGGAATGGTACAGTAGTGAAGTTGGTTGTGGTGGTGGGTAGTGATTACTGTGAAAATGAGAAATTTTTTCTGTAGAAGTTTTTTTTTCAGAAGTAGAAGTTACTTATTTTTTTGTTTTAAAAATTATTTAAGTAGTAAAATTATTTTTAACTTGTTTTAAAGTAATTTAAATAAATAATTCCAAACTACACCTTAAGGCTTAAACCATCTCAAACAATCCCGTAATGGAAGTATCCACATACTTTTTACACCTACCTATCTTTTGGTCAAATGGTACTATTTATGTTGTGAAAACTTTATCTTTTTGAGATCAATAGTTCAAATTCTCTCAAAAAAAAAAAAAAATTTATGATGCCTCTTGAACTAGATATAGACTAAGCGTGTTCTAATTGTTTAATTATCTAGATTAAAAGAAAATTTGAACATAACACTTCCTATTCTGATATCATGTAAACCATCAATTACTGTACAAAATTACAATATTAAAATAATCATAAGACGATGCAAAAAATAGAGAAACATGTGAATAAATGAGTTGAGTGTGAGTGTGTGAGAAAGACTACTAGTAATAAGAACACAGAATTAAGTGGTTTATCAAGCTGAAAAATTAGGTTAATCAACTCTAATAGAGTTTCTTGTTCTCTTTGACTTGTATTACATGGTGAAAAAAGTTACAACTTTTTGTGTATACAATTGTTCATTGGTCTTAACGAGGCAAGAGTTTACTTATATATACACTAGAGTAGTGTGGTCGTCAAGTAATGATGGGATGATCTCTAGTTTGTTAGAATTTTGGGAAAGAATATTTGATTGTTAGATACTACATTTCCTAAGTATGACGTGATATTTTAGAATCTGATGACGTGGTTCTTTGGAGATGGAATTTCCTCATCCATGGTCGGAATGGATAGTGTAATTCCTTTTGTGTCCTTCCGAAAGTTCATTGGGCTGCTTCTAATGATCTTTCTATAATGGGCCAACCTAGCCTAGTAGTAGTGAACCCCTTCTGGTTACTCGGTTGGGTTTACCCTTGGGGCATTTGTTCCAGATAAGCTAGGCCTGCTCAATCCTATTTGGGATGGGCTGGCTATTTCATCATACTCATCAGACAGTATTCCGAAAACAGTGTAGCATTGCTGATTTTATAATCCATATGGTGATAGTCTAACGGACAAGTGGTCTATATGGTTCATAAGCTATATATGTTTTTAGTGTAGGTTTGATTCTAACTAATCATTTTGTGAAAGTGCAGATGTGAGTTATTTAACAAATGGGTATTTGGATACGGTGATAGATTGGGTTTCAGGAATGAAAAATATTCATTTGAAGGATCTTCCAAGTTTTATCAGAACTATAGGTCCGAATGACATAATGTTCAATTTCACCATGACTGAAGCTGAGAAAGTTCATAAAGCTTCTGCATTGATTTTGAACACATTCGATGCCCTAGAGCATGAAGTCTTGGAGGCACTTTCAACAATTTTTTTCACAGTCTACACAATTAGACCTCTCCAACTACACCTGAATCAAATCAAAGAAGATGATATGAAAACTTTTGAGTCAAATCTTTGTTAAAAAGAAGCAGGATGCCTCGAGTGGCTTGACTCTAAGGAACCCAACTCCGTGATTTTTGTGAATTTTGGCAGTGTTACAGTCATGACAAGCTAACAACTAGTTGAATTTGCTTGGGGACTTGCTAATAGCAAGCAAACATTTTTATGGGTCATTAGACCTGATCTAGTCATTGGCGAATTAGCAATTCTTCCTCTTGAAATTGTGAGTGAGACTAAAGAGAGGAGTTTATTGGCAAGTTGGTGTCCTCAAGAACAAGTTCTCAATCACCGATCCGTCAGGGGATTCTTAACACACTGCGAATGGAATTCCACCATTGAAAGTATTTGCGGTGGTGTGCCTATGTTTGTTGGCCATTTTTTGCAGAGCAACAGACTAACTGTTGGTTTTGTTGCAATCATTTGGGGATTGGGATTGAGATCGGAGGTCATGCTAAAAGAGAGGAAGTTGAGGGTCTTGTGAGAGAATTGATTGTGGGAGAGAAGGGGAAAGTGATGAAGAAGAAGGCAATGGAGTGGAAGAAGAAAGCAGAAGAGGCCACTACTTGTTCATCTGGTTCATCTTGCATGAATTTTGAGAAAATGGTCAAGCTTTTGCTTATGACCAGTGGTTCAAATTTGCAGTGTCGATTGATAGATTTTATTGAAGAATTTAATCTTCCTATAAAAAGAATTTAATATTTACCTCCTATTATTGATATTCAAGTTCGAAAAACAAGAAATTCAAATTCTTTATAGAAAGAATAATCAACGAACCCAACGACCCCAATAAGCACGAATCCGTATTACAGTCTTGATCTCAACACTCAAGAAGAACACTCAATAATAACCTCACAAATATGTATTATATGGAGGTATATAAGACAAGAGTTTACTGCCTATGTATATGATATCTGAATCTTATATGACTTAATAAAAAATCACAAACATGAGAACATATATAGGCAGAGACCCTTATCCAATACAGAAACTGCAAGTAACGTCCTTCCATCAAGGAGTTATAACTACTTTAAACTACTCCATGATAATCACTTCATCTGATGATGGAAGTAGTGGATAGTTACCTAAACGTCAGTTATCCAGAAGGATTTGACTCAATAAATAAGATATATATATATATATATATATATAATATTTATTTATTAAAAAGGCATGTGGGTCATTTTAAGTATCTAAATAGAGATAGACTCCAATATTAATTAAACATAAAATCCAACATCAATCTCATGAGTGAGATTTAAGAATAGCCTCACTTTGCATAATTACTGAAATATTGTCAAAAGTTGTGGAAGCTTTAATATCGTGAATTAGTGATGATCACGATGCTAATCAAGGTTGATTTCAATGTGAATGTTTAAACTACTTTTTAAACACTTTTAGCAATCTTGCTAATTTTGGCTTGGTTTTGCTTGTAATTTTAGACTAATTGTATTTACTATTTATATATTGTAATAAACATTCTTTAGTAGTTTTGATATTCTTAATAATGGAGAAAATATTTTCTCTTGGTTCTCAATTACGTTTGTATTCTTAAAACAGGGTTTAAGTCCCAATAACTTCACTCAATCAAAATTATGGCCTAATTTGGAAAGCTAGCCTGAGATCTTAATGCATTATAACTCTTACATTAACAATGAGTTCCATTGTTGAATGAATTCCATCATCATTCCAATTATTAAAATATATTAAATCTACGAATTAAATTTGTCAAATTAAATATAAATAATATCTATAATATAAAACAGGGCTGCTTCAACAAGTCTATTCTATGGTCTCAAATTCATTCGTCCAACGGTCAAGAAATTACTTTTTCTTTCCTTAATATTTCCCCCCAACTGGTTAACGATTACGGTTAATTTTGGAGACATCCTACGATCTCAAATTCATTCATTCAAAAGTCAATAAATTATCAATTTTTCCTTAATATTTCTCTCATAATCGGTCAACGATTACAGTTGATCTTGGAATACAAGACTTTCATAAATATTATAATTAAATGAGTTAAATTTGCCATTAATATCATATGTGTAGTGTAACAATTTGAATTTTTATAAGACATAATAATAACATTTTGATTAAAAAAAACTCATTAATTTAACAAATAAAAAAAATAAGGGCGTTATTTAACACATTTATATTGAATATAATTAATTTTAATTTTATTTATTTAATTAATTATCTTAAACTAACATGACTTACATATATCCTTAATCAAAAGTTCAAGACTAATTTTTTTAAATTAATAATATATTCTTATAAATTCTTATAAATTTTGTAAATTATAGACTTTTTGTAAATTCTTATAAATTCTTATGAATTTATAAATTCTATAAATTTTGTATATAGACTTTTTTTTTGTTTTGAGTATCAAACTTGGCTGATATATTCTTATAAATTAATAATTTTGTAATAACTTGTACTAATTAAAAAAATAATATTTTTTAAATGATATTTGTAAAAAATTTTTTAATAGAACATATTTTGACGATATATTTTTTGATAAATTAGATTTGACTCAATTTTGATTACATGTATATAAATTAATATTCTTTTAAGTCAATTATATTATATTTTATGAATTTATCTATAATATAAAACAGAAAAGAGTTTAATAAGTTCATCCAACGACCACCAACATCTCTTTGAAAACCATTTAGATTAAATTTTACCTACACACACACACACACACTCTCTCTCTCTCTCTCTCTCTCTCTCTGTCTCTGTGGCAATGGGAGATAAAGGAGGGTGAGGGTTTAGGACCACCCTGATATGTGTTTTTTGAGTTATATATGTTTTATACATTTTTTTGGATATTCTTAATTGGGCCTATTGTAATAATTTATGAAAAAGAAAATTAATCGGGTCAAACAAGTTTGATACTTGAACAAAAAAAAAGTCTATATCAAATCTGTTAAAATTAGCAAACTAAAATTGATTCTTTAGAGTATTGGTATGATTTGTTGGAGCTTCCTTTAGTTCAAAAATTATGAAATCTATAGCCAAAAATGAGTAAAATATAGAATTTTTAAGAAGATTTAATATTATAGAATATTACGTTTATTTGTGTCAAATCTATAATATTAAATAAGGCAAACTTCAATAAATTAATTTGACGGTCTCAAATAGACTCATTTAACGGTCTCCAACATTCCTCTCAAAATCATTCACATTGAATTTTTACCCCTGTCAAATTCATCACTTCTTACTTTCGTTGCACCGTGCCTTCAAACACAGGTTACCCCTAGTTATTACATAAAATAAACACTACTGCATCAAAATATGCCACTAAATTTCATCTTTTACATCAAAATATGCCATTATATTTTTTTTGCAAAACGTTTGTACATATATTTAATAAAATATCTAGCACTTTGAATTTTATTCCCACATGCTTTTTTGCTCGTTTCTATCATCTCACTCATTTTTATCATAAATTGAATTATTAATTTTTGATTAATTTATTGTTCAATATAATTTTTATTTTATACATTATTCATATGTGAAAAGTATATAAATATCCATTTTTTAAAGGTCATGTATTTAAAAAAAACATTTATCAATCTTTTTTAAAAATATTATGAATAAAAATTAATTTTAAATTATACAATTAAAAAGAAAAGTATTATTTATTATATTATGATCGATTGGATGTTCAAAATTTATGTTTTTATCAATATGAGAAATTCAACTACCATATGGAGGTGGTGCCAGCTAACCCACTGTCCAAATCAGATGTGTTTAAGGCTGGTAATAGAGTAGAGTTATTCGGGTTTGACGCAAGTTCGGTTCGAACTCAAATCGTATTGTAAACGAGTCGAACTTGAATAATTTTTTGGGATTGTTTTTCTAAAAAAACCTGAAAGATTTGATTCGAATTCGTAAGGTTCGGTTCGTTTATGTGTAAAATAGTCAAACTACTTGGATTGAGACTCAACTTATTTTTTAAACAAATCAAACTTAAATAACTTTTTAAACGCTTTTTAAAAAATAAGACTGACAGGCGCAAGCTTGCCCGAAACAGCCCTAGATGGACCAAGGCCGGAGGGGGATCACTGTAAGAAATAAGTTCTTTATTTAGAAAAATTTTTTTAGGGAAATTTAAGAAATTATGGACAAAAATTATTTCCAACAAAAATGTTCTGTCAGCGTTGACCAATGCCTTGATTTTTCAAAGCCGCATAAACTGGCGATGCACACCCTATGTAATTAGGGATGACAATAATGATAAATTAACACAATATGAAATTAATCGATTAAATTAGACTAATTCCCGATGCGAAATAAAAAATGGGTTAAACTACCAACATAAATAATAAACGAGTTAGGTTATGTTGAATGCAAATAACTTGATTTTTATCCGAAAAATACATTCAGTTAGTCAATATAAAGAACATTTCAAATATTTTTTTTATAGTTTTTATTTCTTGATCTATTATTGTATGAATTCTTGTATATTTAAAAAGTATTTTACATGATTTTGTAAACATATTTGTTAAACAACTATCTAATCTAAAAGTTTAAGTTATTAGAGATGATGTAACTTAAGTATTTATCTATATAATAAAATATAAAAAATTTCATAAAAATTTTCAAATCTCCATATATATTAAAAATAATTTTTTATTTTTGCAGTTCAAATTTATCCAAATTTTAATCCGAAAACTAATATTAATCAACCAATTTTTAGATTATGGAATATCTACCCAGCTTATTATCTACCAGGAGGGACTATGGAATACTGGGAGGTTAGGGATCCTACTAACTATCCTTTTTCAACCTTGTTTAAGTTTGTCAAGCCATATATGAATTCGGAAATTTGGAGGATGAATTTTGACCTAAATTTGCCACACGATGAAAATCATGTGATGCAAAATCGGATGCATCGCCCATGCAAACACAAGGGCTACATTATAACTAAACTCTGAGATGGGTGATAAAATTAAATCTTGACGGTTTAGTTTTCATCATGGATAGATAATCCAAAGGTGAAGTTTGACACAAATTAAGAGGATTCATCGGTAGGATTGAATCAATTATAGACAGATCAATATTTAATGCCCTTGCAAATTAATTAGTCTGGGATTCCTCCTACAGATCTAGTCCTCATCTCAAAGGCCTACCTGGTTTGTGTGGTCTAGGCCTATTTTCATTTGCATTTGTTTGTACCTAGTGAACTACCATTGAGGGTTGCCCAAAAAAAAAATAAAAAAACCTATGTTTAGGTTACCAGTTGGCCAAATGGTCACCACCCCCGTTGTTAAACTTTAAAGTCACGGGTTTGAATCTCGTCGTTTCTTTCCTTGTAATAGTGTCCAACAAAAAAAAAATTATTTTGTAATTTTTTTCTTTTGTTTTTTTTGGTATGCATGTGTATATGTTATTATTAATGACAAGGTTTTAGTAAGAATTTTGGCAATTTGAACTGATTATACGAGAGTGGTGCATTGATTATTAGGACCTTGTGTCATTTACAATAGCCTGAAAGTTGGAACAAAAGGATCAAAACCTTCCATGCCCCATGCCTTACCTAGTGGGTTAGGTCCACTCTATTGCGGGTTTTTTTTTATGCCAATCTCTGCAAAAAGAAGAATGTAATAGATTTGTATTTTTAACATCATATTTGTTTGGTAAAAATTCATTGAATACAAAAAAAGTCAAAAGCCAGTATACATAATTTCTGCAAACAAAAAAATGGGTTAATTATAACTATTTATAATTGACCTCGACAAGTTTTCAAAATTTGAAAACGCTGCATGGTAACTTCATCATCAATGTTATTGAAAAATATATTTGTTTTATACGAGTAATCAAGTTATCTATGATCCATTGATTAGTCCATTTGATTATGCAACCTAGTTTTCACAATTTTCCTTGTTGAAAATATTATCTCAACAGTAACAATCACAAATTGATAATATCAATACCAAAATTATAAATAAATAAATTAGTAGATATACAACATTTTTTTCGGTTTCAACCATATTTTGAGCAAGATCACCATTTGCTAAATCGACCTTATATTTGTTTGGTTGTAGCTCAAGAGTAAGTATGTTTTACATGGGCCTAATATATCTAGGCTTAATTTTGGATTCCTCATTGCCCAAAGATTTGAAAATTCCCTCTTGAAGTTATAAACTTGAGTCCACCTATACTTGAAAGTTAAAACCCCCCATGTTATAGTAGATCATTCACGATTTATTAATAATAGATCTACTTATACTGAAATTCACTTGAATTCATTTTATATAATATACCATGGAAAAAAATTAATAAAAATATATTAGAGGGCGTTCAAATCTGAAAATTGGTTATTATAGACATAAATAAAATAAAAAAAAGAGCATGTGGTTATTTTGGAAATGGCTGAGCCATAATGACTACCAGAGATTGCAAGCTAAAGGATTTTGCTAGACTGAATGCAATTAAGGGTAAGATTAGGTGTTACAAGAGAGAGAATTATCATTACAGAAACCAAACATCATAATCTTCAGAAAAGTGGAAGAACGTCAGCTTTTGAATCATAGCCATGGACAGGACCTCATTAGCCATAATAAAAGGGTATCCTTTTGGGGTAAGGCATGCGGAAAAATGATCCAGACCATTGATTTTGAATTTAATGGTCCACTATCATTGATGAAAAATTGTAAATAATAAAATGAGAAAAACCCACAAGCGATGTATTTATATTGTTAAAAAAATTGAAGTATAATACCAAAAAGTATTGCCCATATACTTTTGAGGTGGGAGTGACCAAAACTGAAACATTTTTGAGATAGGAGCGTGAGTGAAACTGAAACATGCATGACTACCACAAGTGGGAGGCTTTGAGGAATCATATCTATAAGTTTTGATTTATTTCCTCAAAGCGACGCATGACTGAACTTGGGTCTGAGAATGGACTTTTCTCTGCACAGAAACTACAGCCTTAAAGAAGGGCCATTCATTGGTGGGCTGTTGGGTGATGGTGCCAGTGGGTTGACCACCCATAGTATGAGAGTTTTTGGTATTGTTAACAGAGATAGAGATAGAGATAGAGATAGAGATAGTGAGAGCGGGGAGAGAGAGGTGTGAAAAAGAGAGTAGATAGATGAAATCCAGCTCATTGTTCTCAAAGTGTGACACTAACCCACGTGGGGAGTACTGGCAGTTCACGGACTTGTACAGTAGTCTACTCTTTCTAAGTAGAGAATAGAGATCCCTTTAGGCTTTAGCTGTCTCCTCGTCCCTGACGCTGGCAAGCAAAGACAATGACCTCTTGTTCTTCTCTGTCTCCTGTACGTGTATACAGTAAAATGTACATAATATACGAGATTTTTATTATTATAAAATTTTTATTCTTACAAGTAAAAAGATTGTTTTAATGATCTGAACTCTTGAAAAAATGTGTGTACTTTTTTACCAATGTATATATTTTCTGCATGTGTATGTTACTTGAAAAACAGAAACTTTGTACAGAAAGCTGTTTGATACATTAAACTAACAAGGTGTTACAAAAATGAAAAGACAAACATTTGTATCCAAGCCTGAATGTGGACAACATAATGGTTGTCCATTAACATAAAATAATACGAGATTAGCTTTACATTTTGACTCACTTTTGACGTATTTGACTCCCTTTTGACATATTTGAGTTAGGATAAATTCTATACCATTAGATCGAAATAGATAAAAATTGAATCAATTTTAATTGTTATTATATTTTTATAAATTAAAATTTTAATTATTAACTGAAATATTAAATAGATAATTTTGGTTAATTTATTTGTATCGACAGATCATTGAAATTATTAAAAATTAAATTTTTGGTATCATAATTGAACTCTGTATTCGTAGTTGTACGATTGAAGGAAGTTTCGGTTTTATCGCAGCCGACCATTGTTTATAATTATGACTAACCTGTGTGTCTTTATCGACTAGTTTAGATTAGGGATCCTAACTGTTCTATCAATTTCCTTTTTCTGTTGCGGAAAGTTGGACGGTTTGGAACGTGGGGTCATGTGGGAATGTTTGTTTCGACTGTAGAAATATTCAGTTGGCCATGATTTATGGGTAATGATGGTATGATATACCCAAATTTTTATTTATTGTCTATAATACAAAAAAAAAAAAATTCAGTACTCATTTATAATTTTTGTGAGTTTTTTTTTTTTAATTTTTTGTGGTAATTATTATTACTATTTTATCATAAAAGTAATAAAAATATCTATAAAAGTTATTATTTTTTTTGTTATAAAATAACTCACAAAAATTATAAAAACACCCATTAAAATAATTTAAATTTAGAGGTACAATACCGATTTTTTTTTTTAATACCACAGTCAAGTCTTTGGGGTTTGAGAGTAATATTAAGTAATATTAAGTTTATTTGACGGAATTACAACAAAAATTGAGTTGTTGGATATTGATTCTAATATTTTGGATCTATCAGGACTTTTTCTTTTAATCATTACATTATTACATCTAGTTGTAATTTGACTTAAAATTGTTATAACTTAGATTCACAAAAATTATACTTTTCAATAAGACAACTCCCTTAGTATCGCAATCTTACCCAGATATAATTAGCACATCCTTGCACATGGCAGCATAATTAGGTGTTGTTTGAATTACAACAATTATAACAAGCAACAACTATAACGTAGTAAATTCATGAACGGTGGTCATTGATGTTCCCGACCCCTAAAAAGGAAAGTCATTGATTTTGATTATCCCATTTGCCATAAAACCACCATAAGCTTATTTCTGGTTCTTCTGATTATGTAAAGGACGCTGTAAATATATATATATATATTTCCCATTGTTGTTGATGATGATCAAGAGGGTCCACATCCCACATCCCACATCGATAGTTACGCATGACAGAGATAAATATGTTGTAAAGAGGTCTATCATTATTTATTTAATTTGAATAAGTATAAATAATGAGCCTGAGTAATCTTTACTTTTATATATACTATGTTTTTTTATCTTATAAATAGAGTTGAGTCTTATATAACAAAGTAATAGTGAAAAGAACATTAATCTTGCGTAGAATAATATTATATGGATTTAAAATGTCGACGTAATCAATCAAATTGATTTAACTATGAGACTTACTATTTATTAGTACTTACTACTTATTCAACAATTGTGATTGATCAAGTTTGATCCATTGACCAGCCAAACATCTTATAAATAGGGTTCGATGCTATGTCACCAAGTACAATGAATAAACATCAATGTGGCACATATGTCCTCTGTGTTCAATTTTTTCTTCTCTTACATATATCTAGTCTCTATTATTATGAATTTCTTCAATGCAGGTCCCAAGGTGGGTCCATATGTGGGATATAATCATATTAAAGACCATGCAAAAAAAAAAAATATTGTGAACAACTTCAAAACCAAGAAAGAGTAATGAGCAACTTATTTGAAGAAAAAATGAGGGTTAGGACTTAAGTGCTAAAGAATGAGGCCAAAGCCAAAAGGAAACAATGGAGGAGAGTCCAAAGACAATGGGAGATCAGGAGAGAGAAAAGGACTAATCTATTAGAGGGTGGGAGGGTTTATTAATGCCGAGGCTGGAGGACAGGCTCAAGTGCCCTTAGTCCCGCAGCTATAAGCCATCAAAGCTAGTGTTTGATCTCTCTCTCTCTCGCTCTTAACCGCCTTAAGGAACCCATCAACTATTGACAACAGTATCAGTGAACTATCTCCATCTCTCTCTTTTTCCCTTCTCCAGCGATGATCTTTCTTGTGGTAGGAGAGGGAGGGAAGTCGTAGAGGGGAGGAGAGAGAGAGAGCAAGGGTTGCATGAGGAGATATTTACTACGTGGTCTATTAGTGTGAACTAGATCAATGATATATCAAATATTCATGCTTGAAAGGAAAAAAAAACCATTTGTTGTTTTGATGATATAGATGCCACCATGGCTCACCAGCATTATCGATCGCCGTTTGGTGACACAACGTTTACAAAAGTGTTCGTCGGCGGACTTGCTTGGGAGACATCAACAGATGTAATGCGAAGATATTTCGAGCAGTTTGGGGAGATTCTTGAAGCTGTTATCATCATTGATAAGAACAGTGGGAAGTCTAAAGGATATGGATTTGTAAGTTCAATCTTTATACTTCGTTTAATGTTCATAATTAAGGAATTCAGGGATCGATTCAACCGAACTTTCGAGCTCTTGTTAATCTGTTGGATTCTTGTTTATACTAATGAAATATGTTTGTATATTCACCCTAGTTTCATGTGTAGGCCATTTTGTTTTCCGATTATAGTAAAGTAGATACTAAAGGAGTGAACGCAACCGAACCACTAGGTTTGAGAAAGAGGTTGGCTTCAAAGTCGTTGCAGGGAGCAACGATTCTCTTACTGAGAAGTTGAGACCGTCAATATAAGCTTTATAGGCCGAACGACGTTAATTGTTGCATTTTCATTTTTTCATTCAACGTCTTGTTATTTAAGTTTAATCAAGCTAAAGGTTTTGATGATCAGGTGACCTTTCGTGATCCTGAATCGGCAACGAGGGCTTGTGCTGATCCAAACCCTGTCATTGCTGGGAGAAGAGCCAATTGTAACATTGCTTCATTAGGCCGGCCTCGGCCTTCACCGCCTCGAGGTCCGGCGACATTGTCATCTTGATTTTCTGTATGAATTACATTATTTCGATTAATCCAACAACTTTCAAAGATCATTGTGATAATCTGTTTGTGTTTGTTGAAAATGTAGGTAGAAATCAAAGAGGTGCAATACTACCACAGGGTGCATCACCATCGTATAGTGGAGTCCCAGCAGGACCACCACCATTAGCTCCGCTTATTCCCCCACCACCACCACCTCCTGCCATTTATCCACCTTATGGGTAAGTCTCCTTTTCACTATACTGGCACTGGTCCTAGTCCATAATACTGATAGAAAATGGTCCATGCTAGTCTTTTAAAAACGGCAAAACGAAAAAAAGAAAAAAAAGAGAAAAGAAACCAAGCATACAATTAAGAAAAATTGTTTACACAAGTTACCATATTTGGGTTTTTTTTTTTCCTTTTTTCTTCTTTGGTTCTTTAAATGTTTGTTCAATTTAGTTGGTATTGACAGCTAAGAATTAAATAAATTGTTGGATTAATCACACTTTGTACCTTGAAAGATATTCAAACTTTCAATTTGCACCTTGAAAGGTTTTAGTTCTCAAAATACACCCTTAATGTCATGAAAAAAGACAACATGACCCAGTCACAATCTACTATAAGCTTTCCTTTATAATAAGTGGCATAAATATGATAATATATAACCTACTTTTTTAAATGCAAGAGTGAACGACTGTATCACATTGTAACTTTTTCATGATATAGAATGCAATTTGTGAAATAAAATCTTTTGGGGTAGAATTTTGAGTATCTTTTAAGATGCAAATTAACCCTAAATTATGTCCCAAATACTACTACAATAAATTTAAGAGCAATGCTATTCAGACCTAATTTACTAACATAATTTGTTGACTTAATGCATTGTGACCTTTATATTCACTGTAGATCCCATCAAACATTGAAACTTGGTATTGATCCAATGATTCCTATGAAACTACATCATTATGTCAGCATATTAGATCAAATTTTTAGATCCAAATAGTATTACTCTAAATTTAAACCTGATGTACATTTTCATCTATTTTTGGGCATGCTAATCAATCTATTAAATAAATATTAGCAGTGATTGAACTACCAAATCTGATCAAAGAAACAAATAAATTAGTTTGATTACATGAAGTTTAGCCCCTTAATCAGAATCTGATTGCATTTACGTGTAGGTTTTTATGGAAGAATAAATGCATATAATTAAGATGGCAAAATTTATTTTTATTTAGTAAACTTATTTGTTTGTGGACCCAATGAAGCAGTTTGCCATTATATTCTTTCAGATAAAAGTTTATCATATTGTCAGATATGGGACCCTTATCTAAATTGGTCAACAATGCCGTGTACAAAGGGCATAAATAGTAAAAAAGGTACTTTAAATTATTTATCCAACATTTACCTGAAAAGGAGTTAACATATGACGGCAACCCTAGCCTCTCTTTCTTTTCGTATTGCGGTTAAGGGAGTTTGGATTAACTTACATACATTTTAATTAATTCTCTTAGTCTACATGCATTCTTCTAATATGAACATAAATTTTCCTAAACTTGGCCTTTGTAAAGTTGGATTGTGGGCTAAGAATTTGGTATGGAAAAATTATTTTTAGGACGATACAAAAATTTATAATTTTTTGTATTAGATTAAAAAATTTTTAGGGTTAAGTAAACAAAATGGTTGTTTGGATCGATTCTAATATTTTAGGATCGATCATAATCTCTTAATTTATTATGAATTAAACTCAAAATTTGTATTTTAAGGCAAAAATGGGGTAATCTTCAGGTATCATATTTCCTCAAAAGGCACCCATATCTCAAAAATAGTTGTCAAACCTAGTAGTTGTTCTCTCTCTCTCTCACACACACACACACACTCACCCTGTTTGTGTGGTTGTCCCATTCTTGTATCAACTTTTATTATACAAAAGAGGTGTTGTTCCTCAAAACGACGTTGTTTCACACCAAAACGAAGTCATTTCATACTAAAACGATGTTGTTCTAATTAATAAAATGATGTCGTTTTGGTGTGAAATAGCGTCAGTTTTGAGAAAGAACATCCCTACTGATAAAATTAATAATAGAAGATTCGGATCCCAACTGTAGCTCTGCAACATTCAATTGATTTACTAAGACCCTATATCAGTTAAATATTTCATTCAAAACAAGAAGATTATTTCGATTTTCGTATGTTCTTCCCTAACAGATAGATGTAAGAGATAGGTACAATGTTGTAAGAACCTCACCCAATTGTCTTCTTCCATTTGTTTTTGGCTTGAGATTCTATATTGATTTGGCTATCTCTGCAGGCTTACAAAGATTTTGTGATTTTGAACTTTTCTTGATGAATCAGTCTCACCCCATTCTTGTTTCTCATGCCTTTCACTGAAATAGTCTAGGCATAACCACAACACTGCCAGATGCTACATGCAAAAACGCTTTTAAAGTATAAATATACCCATGTGCACGTCTTAGCCGGCTTAGATGTGCACATGGGTAAAGGTTCGGTTCAATACAACTTATATTTGTAAAGGTTGGATTCAGTTATAGAAGACTGCACACTAGCCAACAGTCGGCTGGGTCGGATAGAGGGTGATGGAGGATTTTAAGATTTAAATTAGTATATCATGTCGGTCCCACTAAAACTGCTAATGGGAGACATGCAACTGCATACTTTTTTAATCCACAAAAACAAACAGACTAATAAAAACATGACATCGAAACACGGACGAGAAGATTTTGTATGTTTTTACAATTTCTCTTGATGTTTTTTTATCAGTTTGGTTGTTTGTGATACCTTGTAATTGATCATTCAAAATTAATAAAAATACTAATAGAAATTATAAATAGTAGTTTAGTACCGATTTTTTTTTCCGTTACTGTAGACTACTCAAAACATGGATAATGTTCTGTTGTCCCCAAACAGTGCCTTTTATAAGGTCAAATGTGTGGGTGTCACTTGTCTACTCACAATTGACTCGTTAATTAGCAATCAGCCTACCCATCATATCTACCTATAATAATTCATAACTATTTCTCCCGACACATCATTATATTAGCAAATAACATGTGTGACATGTGAGTAACTCATAACTATCATATTTATCTAGAATAATTCATAATTATTATTATATTAATAAATTAGAATAAATTTTTAGATTTTAATAGGATTATAGTGACCATAACTGTTAAAATAATTTATATATATTTGTATGCATTAAAAAGGCAAAGTTATGCTGCACAATTTTAACCATGAATCTTACTTTTCCAGGTATGCAACATACCCACCTGATTATGGATTCCACCAAGTTAGTCCTCTCTCTCTCTCTCTCTCTCTCACACACACACACACACACACACACCCGAAGAAATCATACTAACACAAAGTAATTTTTTTTTTTTTTTGCTATTTAATACAATGTAATTTACTAAATTCTTGATTGGGCAGACTATATATAACCCTCAACTTCAGCAATCACAATACTATCATCAGCTCTATGGAGGGTCTTCTTCAACCATAGGATCTCCTTACTATTATGGATACTCCATGCAAGCTCCAAGGGGAACATTTTCTGCACCCCTGGCGCAACGTATCCAAGGACCACCTTATCTTTATTATCCTCCACAGATGGAGGGGTCCTTCCCCACTTATCCTCCACCTCCCACTTTACTACAGCCAACAAGGCATCCATTTCCTTCTTCTACTGGTAATTTTCTTGCTGTTGTTTCAATTAAGATGAATATGCATGATAATAAGTTATTTAAAATCAGCATTATATATATATATATATATGTGTGTACACAGAGAGAGAGAGAGAGAGAGAGAGAGTGATTCCGCTATGAAATTCGCTATGATACAATTTTTTCTTGGGGTCAATTACTATGATTCAAAAAAAGTTCTTACTATGTAGACTAATTATAGTTCAGTTTGCATCAAGTTACGGCCAAACATCAATAATAATTTAGGATCGATTCAAAATTATCTTATTGTATCTTAACGTCATCCAGTTAAATCATAATCTCATCTACTTATGTTATAATTTTGGACACGATATCCATAAATAATTGATTGGTACCATTACCTTTTCCATGTACAGTTAGCTAGCATAACATTGGTGTGTTGTCGTTGTTGGTTTTTTTTTTTTTTTTTTGGGGGGGGGGGGGGGGGTGAGGGCATGGGGAAGCCCAACCATGTGACCTGAGCTGTCAGGTTTATGCACTGACCTTTAGTGGGTCAATGGAAAATGGTGCCAGATGGGCAAAGTGTAAACCAACAGTGAGTCAGTCACTACTTGTGAATTCAATATATACATATAGCCATAGAAGACTGCAGCTCCTGAAGATGCTGTCCATTGGCCCACGTTGCCTGTAAGATTCTGGCATTGATTTAAATTAGATAGGTGCATAATTACAAAAAAAATGTACAGATGCAATTGAGTTCTGGATATAGACATAGACCTTTTAATCAAATCAAACCCCTATTAACCAAACCCTAGTACCCTTCCTTTTCAAAGAAGCTTCATGCATGGTAGTTTCAATTCTGTCCTTGGCTTTGGTCTCATGGGACCAATTGATGTCATTACACTACAATTTGTCTAACAGTGTACCCATTATCAATAATTTACACAATCTTGGTTAACTGAAAATTTTGTTTAGCTATGTATTCAAGAAAAACCACGTCGAATAATGCTCGTTTAAGAAGCGTTTAGGTCACATAATACTTGGGTTAATGTGCCAAACGACTCTCTCTCATGTGCGAATGTGTGTGTAGAATATGTTTGTCATGCATCTAAACTCTGTAAGCTTACCACGATCTTGATAAATCAACTGTCATAATGATTTTTCAGATTCACAGACTCCGCTCATACATCAATAGACGCAGAAGTTGGGGCCATTACTAATTCGGAGAGTCCAAAGACCTAAGGCTTTAAGAGAGAAGCTCATCAAAATATACAAGTGGTACGATGAAAGAGCTAATTGTTCAATACATCTTGGCAAATCAATGTTCTTCATCTCTCTTTTTCTTTCTTTCCGTCTTAGAAACTATTCATAAATTCTTTTTGGTCCAAAGCTGTGGCTATTAATGTTGCTTCAAGAGATACCACTTGTGATCTCAACAGCTACAGCATGAAAAGTTGGACCTTTTTTTTTCTTTTCTTTTTTTTTTTAAATTGGCAAAGATGGACTATTCAAACATCTTATGCCATTTTTTTTAATCAAATGGAAAAAAACTGACTTGTCAATTTTTTTCATTTTTATTTGTTACCAGTAATTTTCTCTATCTAAATATTACAAGTAAGAATTAAAACTTGGAATTTGGATTTTAATTGTATAAAAACGCAATATGATCAAAGTTGATATAATTTT